TGGGTAAGTCACCCTAATCTTCTCTACTAGCCTACTTTATGCTTATACGTTGGGTTTAGAGTTTTATAGTTAGACGGGTATGTGCCATCAAGCAAATCGAGGTTATATGTATGAATAGGGACCTTTGGTGGTCGAGGCGACCAAACCCCTGCCATAAGTAGCCTTTCTAGATAGAACTTGGGATGAAAAATCAGTGTGGATGGCGGGTAGTAACCATTGAAAGGAGCTACAATCTTAATGCCTCAAATATGATAGCCTATATCGAGGTGACTATATATGGGTGATTACCCGATATTTGCACATGTTTTGCCCACTATTCTAGCACCGTTATTATTTCGATTCTCGTGTTTTAAGCCAATTTCACGCTAGGTTGTGCTCTTATTTCGTATTTAAGGACTTAGAGCAGAAATGGAGGCTTGAAAGCGATTTTTGGGTCAAAAGCGGAGAGTTGGCGAACAACGGAGCTAGAAGGCAAAATACCTGGTCAGGCCACCCAAACAGTGGACCGGGTAAATGCAGGCGAGACTGGGTCAACGACCAAGGAGAACTAGAAGGCCCCCTTGTTCGTGAACCATAAATACCCGACCGAGTATTATTACGTAAGGTCGGGTATTTACCCCCTTGTGCGAGAGGCTTCTTCACACCATTTCAGTAATATCCGGTCTTATCCTCAAATTCCCGACCGGGTATTTGGATCGGGTACGCTCAACTCAGGCTGTTACAAGCTGAACACGAGTATTGGTCTTCTATTCAAGCTTTGGAGCAGAAAACAGAGGTTTAGAGAGAGAAAGTGACAAATCAAGATCCTTGAGGGCCCTAGATCAAGTTTCCCATCATTCGAGCCCGATTCAAGCCTCGAGGAGTGATGATTGACGACCTGGATAATATTTCTTCCTTCTACACGATGATTTCTACATCCAACATGGCTTTCCTCCCTCTCTCTCTATGGAGTAATCCCCTTTACCACTTGGATAGGAAGAACCCTAGTTTTGCTTGTTAGGAGCACTTGTATGAACCCCTTTTCAATACATTGATGATTATATATCCAATTGAAGTTTTATTCATAAATCTATGAGTCTTGACCACACTTGTATGTTTCCAGCTTTGACATAGAACGATAGGGTCTGAATAGGTCAATAGAGCATCTTGATCTGGAAGTGGTGAATCGATTGTGCGAGAGTCAATCGATGCATTGCTCTATACTGGGAATCATTCCAATAGAGGAGATGTGTTTTCATTGCCTTAGCACTTTATCTCGGGAAAGGTTAGTTGCCTGCCGGGTAACGTGTCTTAGAGGGCTTGGTCAGCTTAAGAGATTCCAAGCTAGGTCCGGATCTTCCGCAGTATAAATCTGAATTAAATTGGATCGGGTGAATTACAACTCGACTTAACTGCAGACTAGGGGGAATCATAACCTAAGTGGTTCCTTCTTAACTTTGAAAACAAGAACATTTACTGCTATCTGTTTAATTTGCTTTGAACACTTCACTCAACTTCCCCTCTAAATAATAGAAAATCACGGAGTAGGCAATACATCGAGACCCTGGGTTGATAAGTAAAACTTACCCACTATTCTACATTTCCATTGTACGATTATACTTGGTCGTAGTTTGGTATTGTGTGGTAGTGAGTCAAGTTTTTTGGCGCCATTGTAGAAACGTGAACGTCTGTTACTTTTGTAACGCCCCAGTATTTTAGATTTCGGTTCGACCATAAATAATGATAGGTTCGACCATAAATAATGTAACACTCCGACCTTTGAGTTTGATTTCGATCTTAATACGTAATCGGTTGAATTGACAGTTACGTACTAAGAGTTGCAATCGCGGATTAAAAATAATAATTATTATATATATATATAATATGGCAATATATATATATATATGTAAATCCTACAGGGCGTCCCACACTCCTCCCAAAAACATTTTCCCATTTATTTCCCCCACCCCACGTAACCCTTTTCCCCAGAAAAAAACCCTCCCCCAATTAATTCCCCATCACAGATCTTTTCTCCAATTCTTTCCCCAGCAGCGCCCACCCTCCTAGTCTTCTTCGGTGTCGAGTGAGATGCAGCGCGGCGGAGCGGAAAGAAAAAAAAAAGAGAGGGAGAAGAAGACCCAACCCCGTCCCCGTCCTCGATCCTCCGGACCCAATCCCTATCGTGTCCCTCATATTTGCGGTGACGTTTGAGGGTTCGATCATTGATCGACTAGGAGATCAGCGTCTCGGATCATCCAACCTAGGCCGAGGCACGTTCTAGAGGTAAGGGAACTCGATCCCTTTGAGTTAGGCGATTAATATGGGGATTTTTCGTGAGGGTGCAATTTTGGGTTTTTAGCAACAGACCAGGCTTTTAGTGACAGATTATGGGTGGTCACCAAAGCTGTTGGAAATTTGCAGAAACTTATTTTGGATGTATTAAATTGTTTAGAGCCTTTGTGGGTGTTTTTTCCTAGGTTTCACAATTTTATAAATTGAGGGAGGTCAAGGATATGACTTTAATTTAATTTGGGGATTTTTGAGGATGTGTTTATATTTTTAGAAATTTTTTGAGTGTTTATTTTAATTAAATAAAAATCCCACCGAGTGGATTTTAAGGGTTTGATAATTTTATAGGGTACAGGTGCTCATGATTGACATGCGAAGATTATTATCATAATTTTTAAGAAGGTTCAAGTTAGGTTAAAAATTTGTCCAAGACAAAAATAATTAGAAAAAATGGTTGGTTTTGAAGGGATAATTTCTAGAAAATTTTTAAAGGGGTTTAAGTGACCTTTGGAGCGAGGCTCAAAGGCTGGATTTTGAGGAGAGGATGTTCTAGTGATTCCAAAGGGGTTTTAAATCGTGAAAAGTCGTTTAAGAAAATGTATTCTTATTAATAGGTTTCCCCAAGATAATCCGGCTAAGGAGGGGTTTCTTAGGGGAAGGAATCGAGGAGTCATCTTTTCGAGGTGAGTATAAAGGGGGTAAAATCTTTGTCGTAGGTCTTTTAGTTTATGTCATTTAATTCAGTTATGTTTGTTATTTCCAAGTATGCGCGATTATGTGTGTGAGGGGTCCAACTGCCTATTTAAGGTGGAGGCACGCGTTGTGCTATGTATGTGAATGTGTCTGGTAGTTTGTAAGATGAACCCCTGGGCGGTTGGGTCACTACTGGACGGCGAGACGTAACGTAGTAGTTGACCGGGCATGGAGTGGACGACGAGACGTAACGCAGTGCCATTGCCGAGCTTGGGTATGCAACCGGACGACGAGAAGTAACGCGGTTGGCATATTAGGGTAGAGACAGCGGATGGTGAGGCATAACGCGGTGGTCCCTAGTGTTGGTGTCTATGGATTAAGAATATAAGTAAGGAAATTCTAAAGATAAGATTGGAGTAGAGATCTCTTATAGAATGTTTGATAACAAAGTATAAACGATGAAAGCGAGAATGACTTTTGTCTAAGTCAGGAACCCTAATAACGTATTTAGTAGGGAGTTCGCCTAGGGCAAAGACCTTAGGAAGTAACGACGAGACTGACCCCTTCTCACTCACCAGGTTGAGGAAGGGTTAACGAATGAGGATTTCGAGAAGAGGCACGACGAGTCGAGAAGCCACACTAGCATTGGTGAGGTCGCAGGAGCTTGGCGAGGAGCTAGAGTTAGATTTAGTTAGTTGTCTTATGTATCATGATTATGAGTATAAACTGGAGGTTCAAGGTTCGAGATTTGTGCGGTCAAGTGTTTTGAGATTTGTTATTGCCCAAGTGTTGGGGCTTTTTGTTTGAAATTCTTAAACATTGTCACTTTGTTTATTTTAAAAATTGGTTTGGTTGCTCCGGAGTAACCGGTTTTCATTTTGAGGTATAGTTTGATTTTTTTGAAAAAGAGCGGGTCGTTAAACTTTAGCATTTACTTTTCTGCATTTGTTTTCTTCCCCTATTTGCCTTCACGGGTTGTGTTTGCAGTCTTTGTGCAGGTAGTGGATGACCCTTAGCCAGTCGGGAGATTTACATTAGTTAGACCTAAAAATCGAATGGACTTGTCGCCAGCTCCGAGCGCTCAAATAGAGACTGGCTATAGAGGAGGAGTTGGATAGGGTCGTTGACGCTAATTGATCCGAGAGAGAATAAGAAATGGTGACCCCGACATTGTTGAGGCGGTTGTCCCTGAGGAGCATACCATGGTCTACTACTGGACTGCCAGGGCAGCAGACATGAGGTCTAGCATCCAACACCCTCAAGTTGCTGCCAATAGCTTTGAGGTGAGCACCTTTGCTATCACCATGTTGCGCGGTTCAGTGGTTTTCTATGGGAAGACAAGCAAGTGTCCTCTCATGCACCTGTGGAGATTACATGAACTGATTGATGAGGTCAAGATAAATGGAGTCCCTCAACATGTCATCCGGTTGCGCTACTTCCCCTTTACTCTGGAGGGATAGGCCAAGCTGTGGCTGGACAACCGGCCGCCGGGGTCAATCACCACATTTACGGACTTGGCCAATAAATTCCTTACCCGCTACAATCCTCTTTCTAAAACGACGGATCTGTAGATGCAAATCACCTACTTTGCACAAGAGAAGGATGAGACTTGTAACACCCCGTTATTTTAGATTTGGGTTCGACCATATTTTATGAAAGGTTAGTTTAACGGTTACGTACTAAGAGTTACAACCGCGGATTAAGAATAATAACATTATAACATTATTATTATAATATTATTATTATTATATTATAAAAAAAAGTAGGGTAAACCGTACTCGCCCAGGAAAGGGCCGAGAGGCCATTCTTTTAATTGGCCCAAAATTTCCCCAACAGCAATAATTCCCCCCACCCATTATTTTCTGGCCCGGCACAAATTTTCCCCAGCCAAAAAATCCCTCCCTGCCGCAATACCGTTTCCCCAGCAAATTTCCCCAGCAGCGCCGCAAGAAGAAAACCCCCAGCCGGTTCCTAGGTAAAGCAGCGCAAGGAAGAAGAAAGGGAGCCGCCGCCTCACTGTTTCCGATCCCGATCCTGACCCCGGCCCCATCCCTTTCGTTCTAAGTAAGGATCACGAATCCCTTCGCGATTTCTAAATTCGGTTTATCGATAGTCTAATCCGAAGCTCGTATTTGATTAGGGGTGACGTTGAGGGTTCGATCAACAAGAAGATTAACGTCCCGGGGCATCCAACCTAGGCCTAGGCACGTTCTAGAGGTAAGGGAACTCGATCCCTTTGAGTTAGATCAATCGATTTGGTGATTTTTCGTGAGGGTGCAATTCTGGGGTTTTAGCAACATGCTTTACAGGGTTTTAGTGACAGATTTTTATTGGTCACCAAAGCTGCTGGGAATTTCCAGAAACGTATTTTTGGGATGTTTTAAATTGTTTAGAGCCTCTCCGAAGGTTGTTTTCTGGATCTACCAATTTTATAAAGTGAGGGAGGTGTAGGAGATGACTGTAATTTAATTTGAGGATTTTTGAAGATGTATTTCTATTTTTAGATTCTAACATTCGTTTTAATTAAATAAAAATATTTCTGAGGAGTTTATAAGGGTTTGATAATTTTCCAGGGTATAAGTACTCATGATTGATGTAGGAAAATTATTATCCGAATTTTTAAGAAGGTTCAAACTAGGTGGAAAATTCGTCCAAGACTAAAATAATTAAGAAAAATAGTCGGTTTTGAAGGGATTAATTCTAGAAAATCTTAATGGGGGTTAAAGGACCCTTGGAATGAGGTTCAAGGACTGGAGTTTGAGGAGAGAATGTTCTAGTGATTTAAAAGGGGTTTTAAATCAAGAAAGGTCGTCTAAGAAAATGGATTCTTATTAATAGGTTTCCCCAAGATAATCCGGCTAAGGAGGGGTTTCTTCGAGGAAGGAATCGAGAAGTCATCTTTTCGAGGTGAGTGTAAAGGGGGTAAAATCTCTGTCATAGGTCTTTTAGTTTCTGTTTTTCGTTCAAGTTATTATTTAGTTAATTTTCTACTATGCGCGATATGTGTGTGAGACATCCCACCGCCTGTAAGGGTGGAGGCACGCGTTGTGCTATGTATGAATGTAGGTGATGTTGTATGGATTGATGGTATGAGGAACCCCCGGGCGGTTGGGTCACTACTGGACGGCGAGACGTAACGCAGTAGTTGACGGGCATGGACTGGACGGCGAGACGTAACGCAGTGCCATTGCCGAGTTTGGGTATGCAACCGGACGACGAGACGTAACACGGTTGACATACTAGGGTAGGACACCGGACGACGAGACGTAACACGGTGGTCCTAGTGTTTTGTGTTTGAGTTAAGGATAGAAGGCGAGCACTTTTATGAGCTAATGTTGAATTGAGTTGATAAGAATGGTTATTTAAGAGCAGAAAGCGAGAACGGCTTTCATTCTAGGAAGGCATTCCCCTAATAATGTGTTTAATAAGGAGTTTGCCTAGGGCAAAGACCTTAGGAAGTAACGACGAGACTGACCCCTTCTCACTCACCAGGTTGAGGATAGTCTAGCAGAAGTGGATCATGAGAAGAAGCAGGGCGATGCGAGCAACAGTACCAGCATCGTCGGGGTATCAGAAAGCTCGTGAGGAGTCAAGTTAGATTAGTTAATTATTCTGTTTCATGGTTATTAGTATAAACTGGAGATTCTGTGTTAAGTCGTTTTAAGTTTTTGAGATTGAGAATTTTGCCCAAGTGTTGGGGCTTTTCGTTAAAAATTCTTAAGTAATGTCAGTTTGTTTATTTTAAAATGTGGTTTGGGTTGCTCCGGAGTAACCGGTTTTGGTTTGAGTTGTGGTTTGGTTTTCAAAAAGGATCGGGTCGTGTCATTTTGGTATTAGAGCCGGCACTCCTCTGTTCCTTGGCCTCCAGGGAATACTGGAGTGACGATCTGCGTTTTTAAGGTTTCAGTTTTTAAAAGGAGAGGAAAAAGGGAGTGTCAGTTAAAAGTTTGGCCAAACGAGTCAGAGTCTTTCGAAAATTTTAAAATCTCCAGTATACTCTAATCATGATAAGGAAATAACTTTAGGATGCCCCAGGGGGTTATGATACGTCTTGGGAAGGAGAAGGAGCAGGTTCCTAGAGGGATCATTTAGTGAAACCCCTTCATGAGTGAGAAGAGGAGGGTCAAGGTAGCTCATATTCTATAGAAAAGAAACAAGTGAGAATTTTGGTTGTTTTGATATGTGGGAAGAGAAAGAAGTGGGAAGTTTGATTCTTTTGATTATGAAAGAGAAATAAGGAGGGAAACTTTTGAGTTTTCGACTTTTTGTAGAAGGAAAGAATAGGGTAATTTGGTTCTTTCAATTTTATGGAAGAGAAAGAGGAGAGAAAATTGAGTTTTCTAATGTATGGAAGTATTAGTATTTTTGTGAAAAGAAAGAAGGAAACAAATTTGGTGTGTGATGTAAAGTATAGGATATATGGTTAGGGTATAACAATTAGCAAATATAACTTTTTATCTATGTTTTGAAAATCAAAGTATGAATTTCACTTTTAAATTAACTATACTATCAAAATCATAACTCAAAGACATATGGTTAGGGTATAGGGTATAGGTTATGTGGTTAGTGTATAATGTATTGATGGTTTAGGGTATACAATCAACAACATATACTAACTTAATATTGTTGATTGAGGGTAAGGCTAAGTGTCTAGGATATATGCTATTGAGTAAGTTATGATTGAAGTCACAATAATTTTACTAAATTTGATAACTAATCTTTAATGGATCAACTTTTAGGATAATTCGAACAATTTTACAAATAACTCGTTTGGCAACAGTTTACTGAAGTTACTTGGGCAATAAGTTATTTCGAAATAACTCCTTTTATCACTATGTTTTTGCCAAATACCACACACCAAATACCAGATTTGCATGGTTATACTAAACGAGATACTTTAATCCAATTACTACTGAATTAATACTAAAATATCAAATAAACAATTAATGTTGTCTTTTGGTTGCAAATATTGATATCACCAATACTATTAGCTATAATACTTTACCAATTATGATTAATTACATAACAAGTTTGCAAGTCATACAAATTGATTTAACATTTTGACTAGTTTTTTTCAAAAAAATAAAGTATATATATACGAGGTAGAAATAAATTGGTTAAAAAGTTGAGAAAATATTTTAAATTAGTGTAATAAAATGTGTAAGTTGGTAATGAGTTGAGTTACTTGATGCGCTGGCCCGAACAACCCGAAACCCGATCCGCTCGCAACCCGCCCGACCCAAAACCCGATGAACCCAGAACTCGATTTGCCCGCAACCCGATTGAACCCGAACCCGATGAACCCGTAACCCGACTAATCCCCAACCAGTTTGAACTCGAACCCGATGAATCCGCAACCCGACTAACCCGCAATCCGTTTGAACCAGAACCCGATTGAACCCAGCATGAACCCGCCCGAACCCGCCCGATTGACACCTATAGTTTCAATGACGCCTTCAAGGTGGACACTTTCTATCAGGGTCTCTTTCCTGATGATAAGCAATTGATCGACTCGATATGTGGCGAGAACATGCTGACCAACAATGCAGTTAAAAGCGTGATTCTACCTAGAAGCGGAAAATGTGTAAAATCGTAAAACGTAGAATCAAAGCGTAAAAGCGTAAGTTTTTGACGCACCCTCTAAAATAGCTAAAATATGTTAAGTACAACATATAGTATGTAAAATGTGAGTGTGTAGATTTTAGACAAGTGAATAACTACATGAAATTCATAATTAAAATATAATATCTAACACATAAACTAATTTGTGTTGACTCAAAATTAGAGAAAACTCATAACATCTTAATAATAAACTCTTAAACGTAGATCGTAACCCGTAAACGAGCTTGAGAATCCAAATTCTCATAAGCTCGTTTGAGTTTACATAATTAAATACGATCAACTACCCATAAACTTTTATAGTAACCCAGGTAAGAGCCACATGTGAAGATTAAGGGAGAAGACTGATAGAAGGTCAACGACTGTTGAGAATACCATTAGGTATCTTTTCAACCTAATTTGAAGTCCCTATCTCGACACATGTTGTAGAACGAGTGATGAATCATGTTTTCCTTTTTTTTATTTTTTGCTGACATGTCTCCAAAATTACATCATTTTGGGCCAATTAGCACATTTTTATGAGATGATAAAAATCGTATAAAAACGCTTCGGAATCACGATTTTACCGATTTCAAGCGCTTTTATCGATTTTACCCATGTTTTTACCAGTTTTTGTGACTAAGCGACTTTAGGTAGAAACTGAAACGTTTTGGTGGCCTGGATACGTAAAAACGTAAGTTTTTATGTTTTAATGCGCGATTTTAACTGCACTGCTGACCAAGATTCCATCGCAGTTGAACCAGCTCTTTGAAGGAATGGCAGAGCAAGGGTATGATTGGGGACGAGACCTGCTTTAGTAGTTTGAGCAGATGAGGAAGAAAGGGAAAAGGAGATTGAGGTGCCTGCCCCTAAGCCACAACCAGTGGTGAAGGAGTATGTCCCTCAGATTTCTTTCCCTACTCGGTTGCACAAAGATCGACTGGAGACTGAGTTTGCCAAGTTCATGACCATGTTGAAGCAAGTGAACATCAGGAGCTATCGACAATGATGCTCAATGAAGAGTGTTCTACCATTCTGCAGAATAATCTACCGGAGAATCGAAAAGGCCCAGGGAGTTTTACTATCCCTTGCATGATAGGTAGCTTGCATGCAGGAAGTCCTTGGCGGATTTAGGAGCTAGCGTTAATGTCATGCTATACAAAATGTTTAAGAAGCTAGGTCTAGGTGAACCCAGTAACACTAGGATGAGCATAGAGTTAGCAGACATATCTATTGTGCATCTTAGGGGCATTGCAGAGGACTTGATAGTCATAGTAAGGCCATTCTCATATCCTGTTGATTTGTTATTCTTGATATTAATGAAGATGTGGATGTGCCTTTAATTCTGGGTAGACCTTTTCCCGCCACCTCCAAGGCGCTTATCGATATTAATAATGGTAAACTGATTTTGAGGGATGGGGATGAACAAATCACTTTTTATGTTTTTTATAACATGAAACACCCCTAGCTCCATGATGATTTTGATTACCGTGACGTGGTTGCCGAGTTTGAGACTGCACTCACTATCACGACTGCGGGTACTAATGATTTCCTCGAGCGTTGTCTTTTGCTAGGATAACAAGCATCATAGGAGCTGCAGCTGGAGCAGCGGCTCGTGGAGCTAGAGGGCACCGTGATCGAGGGGCGAGAGCAGCCGTTCAAGCCGATCTCTATCTCGCCCTGGATCACCACATGGAATATGAATTTCTACGGTGATTATCATCTCGGAACTGACCATCGAGCAAAAGAGCATTTTGGTGGCTCTATTGCAGAAGTACGCCTGGGCCATGGCGTGGGAGATAACTGACATCAGAGGCATTATCTCATCCTTCTAATCCCACATAATTCTTATGGAGGATGAGGTTAAGCTTGTCACGCAAGCGCAATGGAGGTTGACTCCTAACTTGAAAGCAATGGTCCGCACAGAGATTGTGAAGCTGATGGATGCTGGGATCATCTTCGCTATATCTGATAGCAAGTGTGTCAGTCCCACTCAGGTGGTCCAGAAGAAAGGCGGAATGACTGTGGTCTCGAAGAAGAAGAGTTGATCCCGATGCGGACTGTGACCGGCTGGCGTGTCTGCATCGACTATTGACGCCTGAACGATGCCACCTGGAAGGACCATTTATCACTTCCTTTCATTGATTAGATGCTGAAGAGGTTGGCTGGACATGAGTTCTACTGCTTCCTGGATGACATGTCCGGGTACTTCCAGACTCTAATCGCACCGGAGGATCATGCGAAGACCACCTTCACTTGACCTTTGGTAATTTTGCATACTAGAGGATTCCATTTGGGCTTTGCAATGC